GGGGGGGGGGTGGGTGTAATTTGAAACGAGCCCACAGGAGCACCGCGGACGAATAGAGAGGGGGAGGGGAGGAAGGGGAAAGGAACAAAACTAGAATCCTCGAGCGGGAGACGCGTATTATACAGGCACGGAATTTTTGGGTGGCCACTTGGGTGCGCGGTGACGTACAAAGTGGGGCCCGTGCGGTTTGTCTCGCCGCGGAGGTGGCGGGAGAGCGCGAAAATATCATACTTACCGCGCGTGGGAGAATGGGACGTGTTCGACAACGAGGCTCGTATAACCTACGCTGCCGAGGATGTTATTTTTATTTTTTCCAACATTTGGCAATTAATATTAACATCAGTGGAACTGTGCTTGTATGTGTTCATTTTTTGTATTTTCGTCGATTGCGACTACAATAAGAGATTTAGAAAACAATATTCGATTTTTTTATTTGATTTACCTTTTTGCACTTGCAATTTATAAATTCAAACCTTATATAATAATTTTATCAAAAAACACATGGTTTTTTTATAATATTTAGTAATTTACAACACAGACCAATTGTATAATCAAGATTATATATATATATGTTTAAGTAATGGAAAAAAACAAGATTTATATACGAGTTTTGTCTAATTGTTATTTGATCTCTACTGCCATAGTACATTAAAAACAAAAATGATTAATAACAAAATCGTATAAAATCGCTTACTCAATATTTAATGATAACATCATTCATTTGGAATAAAAACAAACATTTTACAGAATGTGACGTTTAAAAATGCTTGATTCATTCACATCGAGATTTTCAAAGATATTCAAAGTATTTTTCAATAAACTCTTTATTAATCTTATCGATCTATATGAAAGAAAAAAAAAAAATGTTGAACAACGTTTCATAACATTGATATTAAATTTATAAACTTGCAAATAAAAACTAAAAAGCTACTTTAGATATTGCACATAAATTTTTATATATTACAGTAAGAGTATTTCAACATCTTTTTTCTTAACCGCTGATTTAAAAATAAAAAAAAGCACTTCTTACATTTACAACACGTTTCTGCCTAAATATTAAAACAGTCAGAGATAAGTTGTAACAAAAACAAACAGTTATAAAATCAATGAAAAAAAAAAAAAAATATATATTTAATAAAATTGTAAAATCAAAAGATCTCAACTCTTTCTCGTAAACTATCATGTTTGTAACATTTATTTTAAATAATCTCATTAAAGGAAAAACCCATGACACCTTTTTCTCGTCACTGTTGCCCATGAGGTTCAGATGAACGATTGCACTAGCAAATGATCGGATCGATATCCGGAATGAATTGTTCAATTACGAGTATTGCGCACGTGGAAACTTTTCAAGCACATTAATTCTCATTCGAGCGTAAAAAAATATATCTTTGTTGGCTTTATGCGTAAAGTAGTCCCGTTGGCTCGTCTATAGTATCATTGATTCAAGAAAATTTTACATGCAGTATAAACACTCTTTTTTTTTTTTCTCTCTTTTCTAGTATTGTATAAAATTTTCTCAAATTGTCCATTATCAAGTATAGTATCTCATAGTTGCGAGTAATTTATAGGTATTTTCATGCAAGACCCTAAAATCATAATCGACTCGTACTTCCTCCCAATACATATAATAGTTATGAAAATCGCACACGTTTCCACACACCAGCAACAAAATGTTTGGGCTAAAAAAAAAGTTCCCTTTTCTCGTTTGGCAAATGCTACTGCAACCTCATAGACGCATACAGACAATGTGTACATGTATGAAAAAAAAGGACGATTCGCCAGTGCAATCGCTCGTCCACCCGGGAACAGCGCATCTTTGCCATTGCAATTACAGTTTTAAATATCAACATCTACACAACGACGCCAGCGATCGAAATGAAAAAAAAAAACTTCAAGCTTCATTTTTTCCTCCATCTATAATAATAATATAGAACATACATCTTCACATCCCGTTTCGTTTTCTCCCGTAGTTTAATTAAATTTACGGAAAAAAGTGCATCGAACGATACGTTTATTACACACATACATAAACAACAGTATATAATATCATTTATCGTCATTTAATTTTCATCTGCATATTTTTATTTAATTTTGTCATGTCTTGTATATTTCACAGGAACGCAAAATTACTCATAAATTATGTTTCATCGCTGCCACTTGAAAAATATTTGCACAAACTCGCATAATGTTCCGATTCATCACATCAAGCTCTCTCGATTAATTCAAAGATGTGAGCATAAGGGGTTGAAAAAAAAGAGAGGGAAATACATACGAGTTGACAGAAAGTTGCAATTACTTTAATAACAGATGGTAAGTATAAGTACAGGTGAAATCGAAGCAATGACAGTTGTATCGGTAGAAAATACGGAATTTCACCGCAAGACAACTCTTTCTCATTCGCTCTGATAATAATACCGACTTGAGCAAATAATCACGTGCGTCTTATCAAGATCATTGTCTTGCAATAGTGTAAATAACTTCTCGAAACCTTCGGATTTTAAACAAAAGTTCCTTTTTTCTTCTAAGCTAAATTTGGTTGGGAAAAAACTGGACATGCTGTAATTATAAATGCATATTATCGCCCTTCGAGCGACTTATCGGTGCTTGTAAAAATAACAACAATGTACTTGAATGTCGTTAAAGAAAATATTGTAAGTACAGTTTCGTCGTTACGGTAATGAAGGGTCAGGCGTTTTATTCGGGAGGGCTTTTAACAAATCGTTAGACTGGTCTTATTTTAAATTACGCGTGGAAACTTTAAAGCTAAAGATTATAAGTGAATAAAAAATTATTTCAACGGAACTGATACTTTAAAGGTAAATCTGGTCCATGTAACCCGAGTGTCTATGAGAGTCTCGAGTTTGTGAGCAATAAATAATTGCAAGTATCTTTTTGGGTTGCTATTGTTTATGTAAATTGTCAGTGATCACTCTTTCTCTCTTCTCTCTCGTAAGCGAAATTTTGTTTACAAATGTCATGGAATAAAAATTAAGAATTACAAGGTAAATTTATTGTACTAGTGTTAATACGTTAAAGCTATGAGTTTATTAGTATTTTTTTTTTTTTTTTTTTTTTTTTTAACGAGCTTTTGTTTTGAAGAAAGATAGAAAAACAGTAGTCGTCTCCTTTCATTGTCGATTTACTTTTTTCTTTAGGACTCTATTGTCTTTCTCAAAATAATTGCCCTTTTAAGTATACTGGTACAAGCGGAAAAAAGAAAAATCGATTAATTAGATTTTTTTTTCTATGGTTGCAGGCAAGGTGCGGCGGATAATTATAGCTTTGATCGAAAGTAACATTGAATAATTCGGTGCTGATTATATTTAAAAAACGAATGAAAAAGAAATTTAAAAAAATTAATATATAACTTGTAAGCGTACGAAAAAGACTGCGACGTCAACGTCGACGTCGGCGCTGCCATCGAGGTGATCAGTGTCAGCTCCAACTCAGATAACACACGTCATCACCACGTTTCCGTCAACCCCGAAAATTTTCAACAAAAAGCGTGATCTTGATTTTTCACTAGAACAGATTCTCGGCTAAACAACTCCAAAATGGGTAGCGTGAACGTTAATCGCAGCGTCAGCGATGCCTTTTATCGCTACAAGATGCCGCGCATCCAAGCCAAAGTCGAAGGCAAAGGCAATGGCATCAAAACTGTCATCGTGAACATGGTCGAGGTAGCCAAGGCCATAAGTCGCCCGGCTACCTACCCGACCAAGTTCTTTGGCTGTGAGCTCGGTGCTCAGACGCAGTTTGACTTTAAGAACGAGCGCTTTATCGTCAACGGTAGCCACGATGCGTCCAAGCTTCAGGATCTGCTCGACGGCTTCATCCGCAAGTACGTGCTCTGCCCGAATTGCGATAATCCAGAGACCGATCTTTTGGTTAACGCGAAGAAAGGTACCATTTCGCAATCCTGCAAAGCCTGTGGCCATCACGGCGTGCTTGAGACCAACCACAAGCTCAATACCTACATCCTGAAGAATCCGCCGTGTCTCGATCCGGCTGCTCAGGGCAGATCTCTTACCGAGGGCAAGCGCGGAAAGAGATCCAAACGCGCTAATGGCGATACCTCGACCAACGGTGATCGCTCCGGCTCTCCCGACAACGATAACAACACTAGCACTACTGATATTGTCGTCGAGGTTCCCAAGAAGATGGGTGAGTACATCTTTTATTCTTCATTATTGCTTTGGTATCTTCGTGTATCATTAAATATTTTTATTTATTTTTTAATAGCTTCCAAGGACGATGACGACGATAGCAATTGGGCTGTAGACGTGTCCGAAGAGGCCGTACGTGCTCGACTCCAAGATCTAACGGATGGCGCTAAGGGAATGACGATCAGCGAGGATCTCGAAAAGAGTGAAAAGGAGCGCATGGATATCTTCTACAAGCTCGTAAAGTGTCGTCTCGATGCAGGTCAGATCGACAACAATCACAAAGAGCTCATAACCGAGGCCGAACGGCTCGAAGTCAAGACCAAGGCACCACTCGTACTTGCCGAGTTGCTTTTCGATCAGCACATCGCCGGGCAGGTGAAAAAGTATCGGCCACTTTTGTTACGCTTCACCCACGAGGACGTCAAGGCCCAGAAGTATCTCATTCGGGGTATTGAGCAGATAATAGCTCTGCACAAGGACTCGCTTATGACAAAGGTGCCTGGTATTTTAAAGCTTTTCTACGATTACGATATCTTGGAGGAGAAGGCTCTGTTGGACTGGGGCAGCAAGGTAAGCAAGAAGAATCTTTCGAAAGACATCGCTCAAGAGATTCACGATAAGGCTACACCTTTCCTCACATGGCTCAAAGAGGCTGAAGAGGAAGAATCAGAATCTGATGAGGAAGATGATGATCTGGAGGTTCGTGTTTATTTCGAATTATTTTTCTTGTTGCACCTTAATGAACCGTTGTAATGACATACTAACTTTGGTTTTATTTTAGATCGAGTATGACGATAGAGCACCTTTGAAGCAGCAAAAACAACAGATAACTCAGAAAAAACCACTGGTTGAAGATAATTGTGAAGATGGGGATGACGTTGATATTGATGCCATTTAAAATCAAAAAAAGCTGATTTGCCAAAGCTATTAAAAACGCAAGTTAACATTGATAAAACATAGCGTCAATAAAATTTACTATTTCGCAAAAGAATAAAAAGAAACAAAAAAGATACAATGAGTCGCAATGAAAAAAAAAAAAAAAAAAAAAAAAAAAAAAAAAAAGACTTATAGTGTGATGATACAGATTGTTTTATGTTTTATCTAGCGGCTGAATATTTTTTACAATATATATGAGTGTTTGATTTTTTGCAATTTTTTGCGATGCTTAGTATAAATCATGCCTGACAAAAAAAATTAATTGTAAGTTAATGTATACTTACTTTATTTGTTTTCCCAGAGATTGTTTTAATAGATTTTAGCTGATCTTTACATTTTATTGCTTTCAATCATATTTCTGTAAATATTGCTATTTATGTGTCTGTGACTGCAAAACCGATGATTTCCATCATGAAATCAAATAAATTAATTTAAAAATTATTAAACAAATTTTCTATATGACTATGGCCTTTGATCCTTTATAGATAATAATCAGGTTATAAATAAATTAATGACTTTCATTTATATTTGTCAGGTATCGACAGTTTATTTATTTAATGTTGGACAGTTCATTCATCGCCTAATCTTCACACAAGTAACAATTTTTCTTTCTCTCTCTTGTTCCTCGTAATTGAAAGTCTTTTTCTGTCATCGAAACAATTTTCCCACATCAAAAGAAAAATATTTTTTTAAAAATAATAATAATAAATAAAACTGCCATAGGCGCGTTTTATCGAAGCCTTAACGAGAAAGTTCATTATATAGTTTCCATTGATTTTAAAAATTTTTCAGAGCAATAATATTCTGCAGTGAAATTTACGCTATTCATTACTTCGTTAAGTGTACTAAACTATTTGCTCCGAAAAATCAAAAAATCTTTTTATCCTTTACACTTTTTGTTACGATTTCAATAATTATTTATTCTTCATGCCATTATATATACTATATTTACATACATGTAATAGTTTTTTTTTTTTTTTTTTTTTTTTTTTTTTTTTTTTTTTTTTTTTTTTTTTTTTTTT